TTGCTTTCCCTCAAGAGCATCCATTCCCCAGAAGTGACATGGTACCTGTATTTAGCTGAGCATTTTAGCTTGGTCTGCAACAACTCTATACCTTTGATCATAGGGCCAGGGTGTGTGGCAGGTTCATCTGAAAAACAATTGTCTAAAATGTCCTCCTCCCCAACCATTTGGGATACTAGTTTGGGAGAAGGAAGACTTGCCTTCTACTTCCCTCTGTTTCATTCTTAAAGGGCCAAAACGGGGCCCCTATAATGCTTGTGGTATGCTGATAGGTTGGGAACGATGGACAGTGACTTTCAAACCAGCATTCTTAGTTGAAACGTGTAATCTTTTTTAAACAAGGATACTTCTCAGGATTATTATATCAACACGTGAAGGATTGCTCATACTCTTTTTTTTTTTTTTTGACTCTCATTCGTGCCTGATATTTAAGAAACAAAAACATCCTAGATCATTTATGAAGTGTTTGGAATTGTGTGACAGACTTGTGCAGAGTTACAAAAATAAAATCATGTAGATCGCCAAATAATAACAGCTTTTGTATCCCACCCCCTTCCTGTGTGTGGGTCATCTTAACATACATACATATAGCCCTTCTCTGCAGGGTTGCACATTTTGTAGTACGTGCAAGAGCAGTGGGTCAGAATTGTCAGACCCACCGGGAAAGTGTGCTTTTTAATTGGTGAGGTTTTTAAAGCAAATAAATTGTCTTTGGCGGGTGGGTGGGTGAAGTAAAGCAATCTCATATAAAAACATTGCTAAGATCATACCTTACTCTGGGATTGTGCATCTGATCTGAATGATCTTGAGTGAAAGGAGCCAAGTGTATCCAAAAGTGAATTCTGTCTTGTCTTATCTGTTATGAAAGGATGATGTTTCTATGCCCATTGAAATGGTGGGTGGTTGTGGTTTGTTGGCACTGGGGTGGGTTTTTTTTTTTTTTTCCTTTTTAAGGCTTCTGTTAAAATAACATAACTTGCCTTAAACTTGTTTCCTTTGCAATGTGGAATTCCATCTTGGTTTGGGGTTGATTTTTGTAAGATGAAGGTGCATCGACTCTTCAGGTTTTGAATGAAATATGTTAAGTGCATCCCAATTCCATCCTGGAAGGAGATAACTGTAAACCATGGGGTGGCTTTTCTGCACTTGATGAAATAGGCCCTGCTGAAATTTCATCAATAGGTGATTGGATTGGGAAAGACTAGGAATTCAGCATTTGAGGTGCATTCTTTCCCAAATCTAGTGGGAAAGAAGCAGCTAAGCTAGAAATGGTTGTTTTCAGTGTCAGGGTTTCTCTGATGACTTCAAGATGGAGATGGTGGAAGAAAACAGAACCCACTTTAATACAGAGGGACTTAGCACCATAGAAAACAAGGTGACTTGAGCCTCAAGTAATCTGTCTTTTTCCATGGGGTTTGAAAACAGAATTATCATTTGTAGTATTTACGCCTTTGGCAATATATATCTCTTTGATTCCGTTTCTTGTTCTTAATTTCAACCGGACACAGATGAACCCCCCCCCCCCCGAGCAGTTTTTAAGGCTTGCATTGTCTATTTCCACACCTCACCCAGAGGGATTTGACTTGTGGTGGTTTGAATTCTGAAACCTGCAATCTCCTCATATATCTGGAGGCTACGAGGTTGGAAAAAAGCAGTCTAGACTTCTTTTTCCCCCCTTGATTTTTCCTTCCTCTCCTTCCCTGTATTCCTTTTTTGTGTGTGTGAGACCAAAATTGGTGGTGCTTAGATTTCTTGCTTCTTAATTCAGTCGGAATTAGAGGGATGGGAGAGATGAGAGTGCTTGGAGGTATTTAGACTACTTGAGCTCATTTGGATTAACCCCCAGGAATTCTGTGAAATGGGCATATAGCTTCTCTCCACTGGAGAGCCTTAAAATCCTGTCCTGTTCTGCACAGTTCCCTAGATTTGGAAGCCCAAAGAGTTAAACTGTGTTTAAAGTCACTAGTTCTTCTGAAGAAATGGACTTGTGCCTCTGGACAGACATAGGAATGCCTCCAACATGCTCCCTTGACATCTCAACCATCTATTTTTCCTCTCAAGATTGCTTTCCATATATTTATAGTTTGCATTGTGTTACTTTCAAATTAGTTGTGCACAGATTATTCTGTTCTTGCCAAAATTCTTACTTTCAAACTTTTGTATCCCACACCCCCTCAGTATTTTTCTTTGTAAAAACGTTTATTGGAAAGCATCTTGTTTTGTACCTCCACGAGTTTTAATTAGCTGCATATATGAGGACAGGAAAAACGTCTTGATGCATCTTTGACTTAATGCCCTCCTCTCCTCAATTTAAGTCTATTTAGAACTGGTTATTTAGCATTTTACTGTGAAGTTGGTTTCTTTCTTTTTTTTCTTTTATGAGAAAAATCAGTTCAGGAAAAATATTTTCCTCTGATTACCATAAAAGACTGCCAAAGGTTTTGTTTTCTGACATAAAGTCACCTTAATGCACCACTGGGGACTATAGATGCAAGAGTCCTTCAGCAAGGGACTGGTTTGAAAATGACAAATTAAAAAAAAAAAAACCTTTAAAAATCTTAAAAAAAAAACAAAGCACTTTATTATGTACCAGGTGAACTGATTCAGCTTGATGGAACTTTTTCCTTTGTAACACCTTGTTGATGCCAGAATTTTTTGTATTCTGTTTTGTAAGAATTTAATAAATGCATTGAAACATGTGAATGTCTTTTTTGACTGGTGCATATTTAATAATTTAAATATTGGCAGGTTTTGCACAGTGGCATGAATGCGGTTGGCCACTGAAATGGGAGTACCTGCTTGACATTTTGTAGGCATGGAAACTGCTGGCCTGGTGAGCATTTAGAGCAAAAACTAACAAGAGTAGATTACAAAATTGGGGAAAAACATTGTAGAAAGCAGTTACTTCCATTTGTTGCTAAGAAAACTAAAAGGATATGTCTGCATAGCCATCAAGAACAAAGGGACACACTTTTATTATGCATTGTATGAATCCAAGGCTTGTTCAATAAACCATGTTTTAGTATTAAATCAGATTTAGCCAGGCAAACCATGCTTTGCCACAGGAAATAGCAAATCATGGTTCATTTAATCATGGGTTGCTACTGTGATTCATAATGTCATGCCTTTTATCCTTTGCAAGTTCTATATAAAAATTGTAAGGGGGAGGAGTGCTGCTTGTCCTTTGTCCTTTATTTAGAACACTCTGGGTCTGATGTTAGCAGTTAAAAGAAGTCACCGCTATCTTCTCAAGGATTCTTTGTATGCCTGCCAACCAAGGCTGCTCTGCATTTAGGGAAGGATTCATTAACTCGTGATTTAAGGTGAGGTCCAAGATGAACTCAACATGGGCATACCGAGACCAAAATATCCAGGGAGCTTAAAACTTGGGACAACCGCCTAATCAGAAATGATACCGTGAGAGATCTTGGAATGCTTTTGCTGGTCCCAAAGGTAATGGTGAGGATAATGGAGCAACAACATACATGGGCTGCCCTTGAAGATTGTGCATCATTTAAATCTGGCCCAGGAATTCCATTGGATGCAGTTCAAGGTTCCATCTTAATCACCTTTCAAATCCTGCTTGTTTTGGGTCTAAATACCTTCCAAGTCCCCTGCTTTAAAACAAATCTCATCTAATAAGTTATGGGAGTAAAAACATTTTGAGGGTGTCATATGCAAGGATTCCATGATTGAGAACTCCCTTTCTGTGGAACAGATTGATCCAGCACATCTGGATCACTTCTTCCCTGTTGGGTTTTTGCAGCCCTTGATTGACGGCTTCAGTGAAAGTTAACTTGAGCACTTATTGTCCCTTGTTTAATCGTTATATTCTGATTTGATTAAATCCAGCCTTTAATCAAGTGGCCTGGCAGCTGAACTGAAATTAATTGAGCTACACCTTTTCTGTTTGTTATCAAGTTTTCAAACTTTTTCAGATAGTGAAACCTTTCAGTTAAAATATTGGAACGCCTGATGAAGCAAAGCTCTAGTAAAAAATCAGATGTGCTTGAGTGAACTTTTTTTATATACCACAGAAGTTTTAAGATTTCATGGAACGGAGTAGAAAGATCCTAGTGTTAAAGAATGTTCATTGCTTACCTATATACACCTTTATTCTCCAGTGAGAAGGATGGGAGGGAGGGAGGGAGGGATGTTGGACCATCAGACAGACACAGATGTAAGCGAAGTTCATTATATAATGATGATTAAACAAGATAAGTTAATCTATATACCCTTTGCTTCCCTGCCCTAAATTCAGTACAATATTTCAATTTTCACTCTGGAATTGGCCACTATACTAGAAAACCTAAGGGGGCACATTAGGTCTTTAAATGAGTTTGAATATTTTTGTTACTAGCCAAATCGAAGTAAAAAGGCAAGAGGTGTTTTTTTTTTTTCATTTTGATTATACTGACTTGTCCTTTTTACAAATATTTTGGGCTACAAGCAAATTCATCTGTACCTCCCAATATATGAAGTTATAAAGCAGCTGTTGGTGACAGGCTGAGTCACAGGAAAGGCAACATATCAGGTGTTGTGATGAGTCCACGTCTCAAAACAGCAGCAAACTAATGACTACAGCATGGAACTTTTCTGAGTCTCTCAAAAGTATCTGCTGAAAATAAAATTCCTTGAAGAAAATTCTAAGGGCTGTGTCATAAATTTGAGACTGAAAGAACAGAGTAGCCACATCCAAGGTTGATTCACATAGCATTAGGACATTACTTGGTTTGCTTGTCTTAGATTTAGTGTATTATTTGAAGGTTGGATTGCAAAATATGGCTTAGCACAATGTGCAGTCGAGGCCAAAACAAACTTTGATGGAAGTAATCAAAATGAAAAGGCATCAGCTCTGCTACATCACAACTCTTAACATTTATCTGCCTTCAGTGTGGCACACCCTAAACAGTGATAAAGAGTTGCAAAATGCCTGCTTATTTCCGGAAGAACCTAGGCCTTTTGTATTTGCACTTGATTTAAGAGACCAATGAGGCAAGTAATTATTCTAATTTCTTTGTTTTGCATTATGGGAGACCTTTACAATGCGTTTTTTATGCTAATGCTGTTCAATTTAAAAACTTTTTTTTTAAATTTGTAATTCAGCCTCCCCCTCTCTTCCCTTCTCCCCCAGATCCAGATAACCCCAACAGCTTTGCCCATAGTCTGGAAATTAAGTCATGGCAATTAGACTTCTTTTTGGTTTGAATCGTTTGGTTGCTTATCTGAATAGCTTCTTCAATCGGACCAAGTTGGTTAGGGGGACCTCATATTAATATATTGTCTTTCCCATGGACATTGGGGGAAGGGGTGTTCTTAGTGGAGGCCAGCACTAGTAAATTTGTGACTGAAGATTATACACAATATGAAGTGCCCTCAAGTCTGGTGTGTTTATTTGGTATTGATTGTATTCATGCAGTTTTTACAGCATTACCCAGATTATTTGCTTAAGAGGAGTGGCCGTACACATTTCTGAATTAAATAGTACCATCCATCTCTGGGCAATGTACAATAAAATATAAAGCAGCATATACAGAAGTTTTTTTAAAAAAAATCAGAGGAGCCAAGAGATTAAAATTAGTTAAAATGTAAAGGGAGGGCTTTCAGGGGACTAACCAGCCCTATGTCTGTGTGTTTCCCAGGGCTTCCCACTTGATGCTGCAGAGCCATCTTACCTCCTTTTCAGAAGGCCAAGAGAGTGGGGATCTGTCTCCCCTCCAAGGGAAGACTATGCCATGTAAATAAAACACATGACATACTTCTAAAAGTGTGGACAATGCTGTGTGAGGTTTCTTCAGGTAGTCAGACCAAACTGAAACTTTATAACATCGCTGCAGAATTTTATAACTGGAAGTCAGTGAGTCTAATTCTACATTATACCCTGGTCTGTAGCTACCTCTAGTGTTCAATGGGTACATTTTCCATCATGGCTGCCAGAATTTCTAATGGACAAGTACACTTTTCACTTCGTGCCTGCAACATGCACATCTCCAGAATTTGGTGGTGGTATGTTCCTCCCAAACGAACAGAATGAAATACATCTTCCGGTGGCTGTTGGGTGATCAGATTTTTGCCCCTGCAAGATAGAATCAATATAACTTTAAAATAATTGTTTTAAATAACAATTTAAATAATTGTTTCAAGATAAAATCAATTCAATATAAGGTGCTGGCCTAGAAACCAGGAAACTGAGAGTTCTAGTCCCGCTTTAGACATGAAAGCCAGCCGGGTGACTTTGGTCCAGTCTCTGCCTCTCAGTCCCGAGTTTCCTTCTGCAGTTTTGATACTTTTATATGTTAGGAAGACGCATCCCATTCCTCATAACAATTCTATTAGCAGAGAATAAAGATGATGTTAAAAAGCCCCAATTATGACCTTTTCATTATACAGACATCCCTTTCAACCCAATGCTTTCTGAAGGGTCTTAGTAAAATAATGGCAGCTGTAGCTCCCAAAATAACAATAATCTGTGTAACTTGAGTTTGCTGGAGTATGGACAATCAATGAGCAGTAGTAAGCATATGCTTTTAAATGACATCTGAACAACTATCAAAAGGACCATCAACCTTTTGATAATTAAGGCTAGGAAGAAAGCCGTTATTCCAATGGATAATGGCTTTCTTCCAATGGCTGGTCAAGTAGCCCAGCCTTACTCTTTTCCTGGTCTCCATTGATTTTCACCTTTTTTTTTTCCAGAATCAGCAATAACTTTGCCTTCCACAAAGAGCTGAAGTTAGAATTGCAGAGATGGACAACTAGCTCTTGAGTTGTCCTTCTCACTTGCCAGCTTTCCTCTCTCCTCTTGCTTATCTTGAAGAGAAACTTTTGAACTGAGATAGGCTGGACGGATTTGAGTCTCAAAGAACAAGGGACTACTTACTTGGATTAGCAGTAAAGTACAAGGAGGTTCCTCAGCCTTAACAGAGCTGAATCAAACTTCTCTCCAGTGCTTTGCCTTCATAAACATTGGAACAATCTTCAAGGGTCCCTAAGCAATCTTACTTTCTCAGGTTATAAGAGCCATCCGGTTCCACCTGATCAGCTGGATCCAGAACCAGACAAGAATAGCATAGCAATATCGTCCCTTTGAATAGAGTCTCCAGAGCTCCTGGAGAACTATGGCTTCAGAAAGCCCAAGGAGCAAACTAAGCAGGTGACATCGGAAAGCACTGAAAAGCAGCTAGTGATACAGATGCTGTTTATATTTTGTCTTATTACTCAGCTCAAAGTGGCATGTATAGTGCTTTTTCTTTCCATTTCTCCCCAAAAAAACTTGTGGAGGAAGTTGGACTGAGAAAATAATTGGCCTACAATTCCATAGGGAGCTTCCCTAACCGACCCTGAACTAGAACCTTATTTGCCTGCTCCTCATCCAGCATCTTCATCACTACATCATACTAGCTCTCAATTCTTTCCCCTTTTCAATGGAGAACTCCTTCTGCTACCTTCCCCAAGGATTGTCAATTGCTTATTTGAGTGTTGCCAAGAATAATTTAATTTGTATTGATCAATTATTGATTAGTCCACTAGGGAGCTTTTATGGCTGAGGATGGGTCTACCCCATCCAGGTGCAATGTTTTAACTGCTGCAGGATTGAAGCCTTCATCTATATACTACTAACACTCGTCATGATCTTTCACTAGGTGAAACGGTGAATAACAGAGTAACAATTCTTTAAACCCAGATACCTCAAATGGGCTAACTTACATATTACATCCACAAGTTGGTACCCAGGACTCCCAAGGGAATGAAATTTGGGGAAGTTATGGCTGCTTCAGTGCTCCTGGTGGCTGCTGTGGTCATGTGATCTTCATTTTCAATATTCTATGACAGTTTCCCAGTCAGTTTAGCAATCCTTTGCTCCCTCCTCCACCCAGCAGCAGTTACTTACCTGCCTGCGGGGAAGGAAAGATTTTTGATGCTCCCTGCCAGATTCCCACACGGAAATTCAATGAGGAAGTTGGCAAGAAGCAGGAAATCATTCCTGTTTTTCTATATCAGTATGTTCTCTTTTTGTTGTGTATGTGTTTTTCATAGTTGCCCCTTATGGGTAAAGGAAGTATGGGCATAAGTGTTTTGCCTTAATAATTTGGTTTGGCTTGTGCGATCAGCTTTTGTCTACTGTTAGTTCTTTATATTGTTGGCTTCCGTCTTCAAAGATCGTCTCCTCTGAATGGAAACCTAGTTTTATGAATGGAAACAATATCTTTGAATGGAGTTTTCTAGACTAAAAACCAGGGTTCAGCAATTCAGGAAGAGACAATTTTTTTCCCATTCTTATGGAGGATTTCTTATTCTTTGGGAATTTTTCTTTCTAATATGGGGTTTCCTTTTATTCTTCCGGGGAACACATCCACGTTATCAAGTGTTACAAATCTACTTTAGCATTTCATTTAACTAGAATTTAATCTGTTTTTATCCTATGGTATCCATCACCTGAGAATTATTATAGGGTGCCTTATAAATAAATATACAGGTGGTGCAATAGCCATTCCTATACAAAGTATTTTTTTTACCCTGAATTGATCTATCCCAGAATGAGATACTTATAATTATTTTTAACAAGGAAAAAAAAATACACCAGAGTTTTCTTAAAAACATTTTAACTGCTTTTCTAAATCTGTGAGAAACAAACCCTTTCTCCCTTTGCCTGCTTGAAACCATACACACAGATACACTTTATTTGATGGAGAGAAGCGAGTCCTAAAAAATAAAAATAAAAAAAATCAGAAAATATTTCCTCTCATGACAAGACTTCGTATTTCAAACCGCCTCCCACCCTTTTCTTTCTTAAAAAAAAAAAAAAAAAACTTCAAAATATCTATTTCCAAAGGATCAGGATGTCTGCCCGACACCCCCTCCCCTCCGTTCTTCCTCAACACAAACCCTCCCCGACCGCGTTTTCAAAGCCTCCTTTCTTTCCTGAAGCGCCTCAATGTCATAATAAATCCCCCTTTTTTTATATAAAAAAAGATCCAGAGCCCATGGCAATCAATCACAACCCAACCGAAGGGGAAAAAAAGACGCTCTTCTCTCTCTCTCTCTCCTTCGCCGCCTCCTCGTAATTAATAGCGGGGCAGGCATGGCAGCTCCTCCTCCTCACCCACCACCGCCGCCGCCCTGCCCGCTCGGGCTCCTTCGCCTCATGGGCCGCGGCCGCTGCTGCTGCCGCCGCCGCCGCCCGCCTTCCCCAGCCGCCCCGCAGCCTCCTCCTCCTCCTCCTCCTCCTCCACCACCACCGCCGCCGCCTCGCTCGGGCCTCCTCCTGGCCGCCGCCCTCGTCGTCCTCTCCAGCGGCTCCGGCGGCCGCCCACTCTTCCTGCTGCAGGCGGCCCCTCCCCGGCAGCCGCCTCCGCGCAAAATGGCGGCCGGAGCCGGGCCCGTCGGAAGCGGCGGGGGCTGCGGCAGCCTCTCCTCCAACGCATCGGCGCCGTCGCCCCCTCAGGCCGGCAACGGGCCGCCCCCGCCGCTCCCCGCTTCGCCTGCGGCCGCGCCGCCACCTCCTCCACCACCACCGCCACCCTCGTCCTGCTCCAACAGCGGCGACGGGCCTCTGCTGCTGCTCTCGCCGCCTCAGGCAGCGCTGCCGTCCCCGCCTCTCGCCGTTGCTTCGCCTCAGGCCTCCTCCTCCTCTTCCTCCTCCTCCGGGCCTACGCATAACCACGGAGCGGGAGGAAGGGGCAACAACCCGCTGCCGGTGGCGGCCAGCGGGGCTGCGGCGGCGGCAGCGGCCGCTGCTTCGCCTTCGGGCCCGGCCTCCTCTTCGCCTTCGCCGCCGCCGCTCGGGCCTCGGGAGACGGCCTACAACTGGCAGGCGACGAAGCCGACGGTGCAGGAGCGCTTCGCCTTCCTCTTCAACAACGAGGTGCTCAGCGACGTCCACTTCTTGGTGGGCAAAGGCCGCGCCGGCGCCCAGCGCATCCCGGCCCACAGGTCGGAGAAGGGGGCTTTTGGGGTGATGGGGGGGGGCTCCGTTTCTGAGGAAGGGGGGGTCTTGGTGGGTGGGTTGGCGGGAGAGAAATGGGGGAGTCGGGTCTCTTTCCTTGGGGGGGGATGCTTGGGAATTGGAAGGGGAGGAGGAAGGGGGTGCAGAGCCCTCTTCCCCATCTCAAGGAGGAGAAAGATAAAAGATGGAGGTCCTGCCCTTGGAGATAAGGATAGGGTAGCTGTCAGTGGGGCTGAATGCAGCATGTGGGGAAGGGAGAGGTCTGTAGAGGCCCTGGAGGTGTTTATGGGAGGGTGGGGATGTCAGTCATTGGAGGTGAAATTGAGACCATTCCTAGAATGGAAAGGGACCCTTGAGATCATGGAGCCCACCCTCCTGCTCAGTGCAAAAAAAAAATAAAATAGTAAGTTAAAGCATCCCCAAGGGACGGCTGGTTTGCTCCTGCTTGAGGTTTCCACAGCAAAAAGGGAGTGTCCCTCTCTTGTCCTCCAATCTTATGCTGGACTCCAAGGCAGCTGGAGGAAGGAACAGGGATGTTAGATTTGGGATTTAATTTAATTAATTCAATTTATATGCCGCCCCTCTCGAAGACTCAGGGCGGCTAAAGAGTAAGGGGAGACTGAAATGAATGAGGTAGGATGGTTGGGGGTTGAAGAGGGGGGCAGGCATTGAGGTGAGGGACGACGGGGACGACCAGAAGGCATTGGGTAGAGTTTATTGCAGATAAATAGCTTTGAAAAGGCTGCTTCTCCGTTTTTGTGGCTTGTTGGTGGGACTGGGTTGAGGGCGTGAGGATTGTGCCACAATAGGGTGCAGGATTTCAGAAAGTCAGGCAAAGCAGAGTTAAATTTGGCCTGGCTTTCACAAATAAAAGTCCCCGGCATTCTCAAATGCAGAGTTTGAATACGCTGTAGGGTGGCTGATTTTTCTGCGCAATATCACAACTGAACTGAAGAGGCTGTGGGCCTTAATGCACCCATGGGCAAGACTTAAAATAATATGAAGGGATGGTTCAGTTGGAAACCCCAGGAAGGACTTGGTCCACAACAATTCTAAGGGGCAGGCTAGGTCTTGGCTTGTTTGTTTGCAGCCAGTGATTTAGCATTAAGATAGTTGGTGCCAGACTGTGCTGGGTTTGCCTGAGGTTGATTCGCTGCTGCTGGTGGGGGTGGTATTGTGATCTGATTGTGTGGTTTGATTTGTACAGAAGTATTAAATAACATGTTCCTGACTTGAAGTTAGGAAATGATTTATTAACATCTATCTCTGTGAAATCTTATATAACAATGTGAATTAATTTCAGAAAGTTTGCAACATCACGTATTTCCTCAACATGTACGCACATTAACGCGTTGCTATAACACTGAAATCATATCTATTTGCTGCTTCTAAATAGAGCCTTTGTACCACTAAAGAATGGAATTCAAAACCCTGACCAGGAATGCAGTGCATCTCATGACACTTTTGCACAACAGAGCTGATGCTTGCTAAGAGTAAGGAGAGCAATTGTAAAGTGAAAGGTTTCTGTTTAAAACCCTCTTTATGCATGTTACGATACCAAACAGGACATTTTTCTTGAAGCTGCTGAATTGCACACAGCTTTACAGAATTATGCTTATATGACAGTGTAATATTTTTCCAGAATATGAAAAGTTTTTAAACCAGGCTTGGGCTAAATACAGGTAGTCCTCAACTTATGACCACAATTGAGCCTCAAGTTTATGCTGCTAAGTGAGAAATTTGTTAAGTGATTCACTGCAGTTGTTAAATTAGTAACACAGTTGTTAAGTGAATCTGGTTTCCCCATTGACTTTGCTTGTCAGAAGGTTGCAAAAGGTAATCACATGACCCCGGTACATAAATGCTAGTCAGTTGTCAAGCATCCGAATGTAAATCACATGACCACAGGGATGCTGCAATGGTCGTAAGTGTGAAAAATGCTCATAATTCACTTTTTTCAGTGATGATGTAACTTTGAACAGACACTAAGTGAACTGTTGTAAATTGAGGACTACTTGTGCTCATTTTTGCATCATGAGGCCAATAATGTGTTTGTCCCTCATTCTTTGTTCTTGGATTTTTTTTTTCCTGTAGCAAAACAGCTTTTGATAAAAGGCCCTGAATTTGGTGTTAAGGACTTAACAAGAGTAAACCTTAACACAGTTGTAAAACATTTATTGACAGAAGTTAAAAAGTCTTTGAACTGTCTCCTCCCCCTCCTTTTAACAGCCTTCTGATCTGGAGTCAGAGAAACCCTTCTTCACTTATAAAATACAATGTTTCCTTAAAGTCAATAGATCATTGACAGGCAGGAAATGAAATTTAGCACCTCTGCCTGGCCAGGAAGATCCTTGCTGATATAAAGAAGGTAACAAACAATACTGTATTTCCTCTAACCATAAAAAGCTATATTTCCTGCTTTCTCGTGGTCGTAAGAACATATTTCACTTACACCAAGGCTAAAAAACATATATAAACCTTCCTGATATGCGGGTCCGTTGCCAGCTGTCCCAGAAACATGCTTTGTACTATTGCTGACCGAAATAAAATAGAGAAACTTCTCCCCAAGCAGCTGCTTTTTGTGTCTTCTTTCCTTGGAGTAAGGAACCCAGGGAGATTCTCACAACATATATACCAGGGGTGGGTTCTACTTACCTTTACTACCGGTTCGCAGTGGGGCTGCGTGCGTGCTCTTCTGCGCGTGCACAGAAGTGTTTTGATGACGTCGGGGTTGGTGGGCGGGGCTTCCCATCGGTTTTACTACCGGTTCTATAGAACCGGTGCGAACCGGGGGCAACCCACCACTGATATATACCAGTGATGCAGGAGTGAAATGCTCCCAGTTCGGACCGGATCGCCCGATCCGGTAGCGATGGAGGCGGGTGGTTCGGAGAACCGGTAGCAAAAATCCCTGCCCCCCCCATGCCCAGCTGAGCCGCACAATCATCAGAGGCTTTTTTTTTTTTACTTTTAAAAGCATTTTTTCTACAACCTCTTTGGCCAAAAAAATGCTTTTAAAAGTAAAAAAAAAAAAGCCTCTGATGATCGTGCGGCTCATCTTGGATTGTCAGAGGCATTTAAAAGAAAAAAAACCTTTTTTTCTTTTAAATGCCTCTGACGATCCCAGCTGAGTTGCCTGATCGGCAGAGGCTTTTTAAAAAAGCCCCTGCCATCAGGCAACTCATTTGAAAGCATTTTTTTACAACCTCTTCCCTGAAGAGGTTGTAGAAAAAATGGTTTTAAAAGTAAAAAAAAAAAAAATGGCCACGCCCACCCAGTCACATTACCACCACCACCAAGCCACACCCACAGAACCAGTAGTAACAAATTTTAGATTTCACCACTGCTAACCTTTTCTGGACTGAGTGCCCAAAGCGTGCGCACATGCGAACCCCCAAAATACAATGCGCGTGGGGCCCCTCACACACGCCCTGCCCCCCGCACATGCACAGCAGAGACCCGAAGACCAGCTGGCCAGTGGGAGGCACACGCGCATGCACAGCGGAGTTGAACTGAGGCAACGGCTTGCGCGCCATCAGAGAGGGTGCTGCGTGCCACAGGTTTGCCATCACAGATACATACAATTTAAACCACCTTATGCCACTTTATTTAGACATTGTGTACTATACCCACAAGTGTTAAAGTATCCACTTTTATTTCAGCCTGTATGTCCTGGAATCTGATTGAATGAATTTTCAGTATCATTCTCAGTAGTATCATTTATGTAAATCTTAACTCGGGGGCGGGGGGAAATGAAACAGGGTATTTAACTATGGAATAAAAATAGATGAAAGATTGAGAACGGAATCCAGTCAAGTGAGGCCTTTCTTGTTTCTGTTTTTCTATGTCAGGTTTGTGCTGGCTGTGGGCAGCGCGGTCTTTGATGCAATGTTCAATGGCGGGATGGCTACAACCTCCACGGAGATAGAATTACCTGACGTAGAGCCTGCTGCTTTCTTAGCTTTGCTGAAGTAAGCCTGTTTTTATGCAAGTAAAGTGATTTCCCCCTCCACATCCCCACACCCCAATTGCAACCTGTCTGCAATAGGGTTGGTGCAGTGCTATTCTAGGCATTCATTTTTATTTTAAATACATCTTTTAAAAAAGGGTCTAGCATATAGTTGTTTTAGGAAGATATACTGTTTCCTAGATGGCAATTCTGTATTTTTAGAGCTTTTAAAACTGGTTTCCTTCCTTCCCCCCAGCTCCCATATTTATGCTTCTCTCTCTGATTTTTTCATATGCCCCCTTTTTTAGCCTGGATCAGATTAATTTCTTTTGGCTCGCATGCTTTTAAAATGCGTATCTGAGAAGTTGGGGCTTGAATCTTAAAATTTCAGGAGTAGTATATTGAAAGATTGCCCCTTCTGCTTCTTCATTTCTTCTACTACTTCCAGGCCTGATACCACATTTTTTTAACCTTCAAAACCTGGCAATATAACATTTGTTTCTCTTTGTCAAGCTGGAAGCCTTGTAAGTATGGTTTCCATTCAGTTTATAAGCCCTTAGTAAAGATATGGGAAAGAAAGCTGGTGAGTCACAGTCCCAAAATTGTCCCATTATGATCAGCCTGGTATTGCAATTTAATTAACTGCTATAGATATATCTGGATCTGATCATCTCATGTGTCCTGTCAGAAAGGCAGACGATGTAATGGATATTGAATTAAGTATTAAAACCCCCAAAGACACTACATAAATTTAGACATTTTATAACAAATGCAGGTTTTCAGGTTTGCCAAAATAATGTCCGGAGAGCTGGATTAGAATATCTCAACTGCAAAAGTCACTGACTGGCTTGGTTTTAAAATCTGCAAATCAAAAGTCAGAAGTGTAGCAAATAAAAATATGTACCCTATATGCTAGTGTGCTGTCCAGGGCAGCATACCCTGTCTAAAGAGTTCCAATTTTAAAAAGATGTTCCTTGTCCTCATGGATTTACAGGTGAGATGAATAGTCTCATTTTTTTTAATAAAAAAACCCTGTTATTGAATTGGTACCCAATGGGAATTCACCTCTTAATTAGACAATAGAAAGACTTTCTACGTAACAACTAATAATCTGACATTTCTGATGTATTTTCTCCAGTAAATAATGTGGTTTTGAGTGGAATAATATTTTTCTCCGCCTCCCTCTCCATTTTTCTCTTAGATTTCTTTATTCAGATGAAGTTCAGATTGGGCCAGAGACTGTGATGACGACTCTTTACACTGCAAAAAAATACGCAGTCCCTGCCCTTGAGGCTCACTGTGTGGAGTTTCTGAAGAAAAATCTCAGAGCAGATAATGCATTCATGCTTTTAACCCAGGTACATTTGCCTCTGAACTAGCCTTTTTGGTTGAAAGTTCTTGGCGTGAGTCGAGGAACATGCTGACACTGGCTACAGGTAGTCCTCGATTTATGACCATTTGTTTAACCGCTTTTCGAAGTTACCATAGCACTGAAAAAACTGATAACCAATCTTTGCACTTGTGAGTGTCACCGCATCCCTGTGGTCACATGTTCAAAATTTGCCAACTGGCATATAGTGATGAAGTTGCAGCTTCTTGGGATCGTGTGATTGCCATTTGTGACCTTCTCGGGGGGCTTCTGACAAGCAAAATCAGTGGGGAAGCCCGGTTCATTTAATGACTGTGTGATTTGCTTAACACCAGCAGCACAAAGATTGCAAAATTGGATCTGACTCATTTAACAATTGCATCACTTAATGACAGACGGTCCAGACCTAACTGGTCATAAATCAGGGATTACTTGTAGTTGCCCACCTTCTCGGATCAATCCTCTGCAAAGCTATCAGTTTTCATCTGCTGCTGAGATAGATCCTTATGAACTTCCATGGTAAAGCCTAGAGATTTTCATGACTTCTGGTTAAAGTTAAAAACTGGGGAGAAAGCAAACACATTCACCAAGTTAGCAGTGGCCTTGGTCAGTGGTGAAATGTAAAATTTGTTAGTACCGGTTCTGTGGGCGTGGCTTGGTGGTGGGGTCATGTGACTGGGTTTGTTTTCCTTTGATTTGTTGCACATGGTCTCGGTAACATTTTCAATCCTAAAGTGTATAGTTGGATGAAATAATAATTTGCAAACCACCACAAATATATTTGCAAACCACAGGCAAAGTGGAGAAGTCCTTAAGGAAACTGTAGCTCACATGGCTTGGATGCCATGATACCATCAGATCTAATTTAACCCAATACCAAATGCATAAACTATGACATATGGTTATCACTTCGTATGAATTTTGTAGAAATTTATATATTTGTAGGACGTTTTCATCCCATCCTTTTGTGCATACGGAGCGTGTATACGTATGAATCTTCACCCTCCTACAAAGTAGGGGATGGAATGGGATTTAAAAAGTCCTGAAGTTAACACACTCCTCTACGTGCTCCTTCCATTTATTCTTACTGATTGATGGCTATTTCTTAGGCAAGACTCTTCGATGAGCCGCAGTTGGCCAGCCTTTGCCTGGAAAACATAGATAAAAACACCTCGGATGCCATCAATGCCGAAGGCTTCACTGATATTGACCTGGGTAAGCTTCTCTCAGAATTGAAAGATGTTCCAACAGTTTGTGCTAAGTTTTTTTTTGCTTGGGTGCTTCCCCCTTTCTCTGAGGTGACACAATTGATAGAGGTGTCCTTCTGTCTGCTTCTCAAGGTATACCCAGCTGTAAGATAAGCAGTTTAAATTGGGCCTGTTAAAACCTCTATTTAGGCTCTTGTCCCTGCCACTGTCAAGTAAAATTAGAATAGATTATGCAAAATTGTCAGCCTGTTTAGTTTGTCTTATTTATACAGGTTGCAGATGTCAGTTGTATTTCTAGTGCCGTTTATTTCTTTAAAGGAAGTTGATTCGGCTCTTCGGTTTGATAGCTCGTGGAATTGTTTACAGACAGATGAAAGGTTGAAGAAAAAAACCAAGGTCATTCAGGTCCCAGTCCTTAAAAGTTGCTGCATTGAAGGGATGAATGTTTACAATTGAATGTTTACAATTTAGGTGCAGCCTTCTGCTTCAATCTCGGGGAAACAAACGAGGGTTTTTCTGCTGTGGAAAGTCTTTTCTTCTGTACAAAGTCTTTTTAAAAGTTCCGGAACAGAACCTCCCCTTAGATGAAACCTTAGAGATTCAAGCATCCATCTGTGAAATAGAGACAAATATTATCCCTTGCATGACTGTTTTTTCACACATATTAGCTTAAGAAAAAAATGCTATCCATAGAAAATTGACCTGTCAAGAAAAGTTGTGATTTAGCCTGACTCGTGAAACATAAGTTTCTTTGTAGAGGGATTTTTAAAATATATATATATAAAATCATGTGAGTCTTTTTTCCTGAAGTGGAGCAAACTAGATGCTTGCCTCTTGAGCAGCATTTGTATATTGACCAAGTCAGTCTCAACATCCCTTGCCATGCTTTTGCGTCAAGTGATGGACAAAGAGCGCATTTGGTCCTAGCTGTTCACCAGCAGCACATGATGTTACAAAATGCATTGTCTTGCTAGTTTTGCTATGTGTGGAAAGTTGCCAGCAAAAAAAAAAAAAGCTAGATTTCTGAGGTAAAATTCCCCCAAGCTCTGTAGAACAACAGGGCAGTATATGTATGGAGCAAGCAGCTTCTGGAAGGAAGATAATAGTTGCAGCAACTTGCCATCATCGTCTCTATGTAATTGATGTGGATTTCTCCTTCCCCCTCTTGCCAGTTTGTCGTCTGGAAGGTTGATTTGCAAACAGTTGTAAGGGTTCTGTTTCTCTGGGAGACATCCTACCTCTCGCTGTTTAATTTCCACCCATTGGGGGTGACTTCTACTAGGGGTGACATGATAGCAGTGTTCCAATATCTAAGGGGCTGCCACAGAGAAGAGGGGTCAACTTATTCTCCAAAGCAAACAAAGGCAGAGCAAGAAGCAATGGATGGGAAGTAATCAAGGAGAGAGAACCAACCCAAAACTAAGGAGAAATTTCCTGATAGTGAGAACTGTTAATCAGTGGAATGACTCGTCTCCAGAAGTTGTGGGTGCTCCAACACTGGAGGTTTTTAAGAAGAAATTGGACAACCATTTGTCTGAAATGCTATAGCGTTTCCTGTTTGAGCAAGCTATTGGGACTAGAAGACCTCCAAGGACCCTTCCAATTCTGATATTCTGTTATCTTCAAATTGCCTTGGATTCTGCTTGTGATATTTCTCCAGGCCTCCGCTGGCCAATGTGGTGTATTTTATCTTGGCTCTCCTGTAGGTGTGTTTTTCTAAAAGGTGCGCTAAGCTCAAATGAGGCCTGGCAGGTGCCTGTATAAAGGGCTGATTCTCCAGGATTCTCTATAAAGCGGAGGTGTAGAGCACTTCCTGAACTAGTAGTTCAGGCTATTAAGTACAGTATTGAAAGTTAGGAGATTTTCAACACTGGCTGATTTTGACAGTGAAAGGATTACCCACCCACCCATGTTTATCCTTATCCCAAAATAGCGATGAAAGATGAATCTTGTTGGTAGTGACGTTCTCTTTGTCTGATAGATACCTTGGTGGCAGTTTTGGAGCGAGACAGCCTTGGCATCCGGGAGGTGCGCCTCTTCAACGCAGTGGTCAGGTGGTCAGAGGCTGAGTGTCAGCGGCAACAATTGCAGCTGATACCAGAAAACAAGCGGAAAGCTTTGGGCAAAGCTCTTTCCCTCATTCGCTTCCCCTTGATGACAATCGAGGAATTTGCTGCAGGTATTTGGGGGCGCTTTCTCAAAAGAGGGGTTTTAAATCAAATATCTGGTGGGTTAATAACTTTATGCCAGTGAGGGCATTTATGTATTTGAAAATATTTCTGCTCCTTCGTTTTGATTCTGACTCCCTGTTCTTACCAGCTACTTACTGCCAAAATAAAATAAAAATAAAATAATAATGGCAGTTTAGGTAATGGGCCAGTCTGTATGTCCTTCTTACCCACAAAAATATTCCTATTTGCTTCTAATTGGGCATGTTTGCATTTTGTACTAGAAGGCAGATGGCAAAGAGACAGTTGTAACCAAACTATGAATGCCTGCCTTCATATATACCCACAGTTACCCAGATGAAATCAAGTCATACTTTCTGTCTTACATGCAATTTATACTGTGAGCCAGTGGTGAAATCCAATTTTTTTTTACTACCGGTTCTGTAGGCGTGGCTTGGTGGGCGTGGTGTGGCTTGGTGGGCGTGGCAGGGGAAGGATACTGCAAAATCTCCATTCCCACCCCACTCCAGGGGAAGGATATTGCAAAATCTCCATTCCCACCCCACTCTGGGGCCAGCCAGAGGTATTTTCCGATTCTCCAAACTACTCAAAATTTCTGCTACCGGTTCTCCAGAACCTGCTGGATTTCACCCCTGCTATGAGCCCTTGCATTCGTAACTAAATCTGAACATCTGCTTCCCTGCATTCATCTGATGGTCCCTCATATCTGGAGCATCCTCAAGATATTTGGATCACTCTCCTGCTCCCCCCAGCACCCTCCCGACCTCTGCTGTGCATTTTGCAATTCCCTTGCATCCTTGTGCGTCCTCCCTGACCCCCATGGCACCTCTCACGCACACCCTCATACCTTCGCAGCCTAGCACCTCTTCCTTGTGCTGTGCCATACCATTTGGATATGCAGCCACTTCTTTAGTTCTAACTTAAACTTCGGTGGGCCTGGGACTGACTTGATGACTTTTTTACAGACTGGTTGTGGGAAGGAAGTTGCCTCAGCTAAGATTCAGTCCACAGTGGCAACTGGAGCTGCAGGGATTGCCATCATTAAGCGATGCAGTCACACTTTATGACTGCATCGCTTAGCCATGGAAATCCCAATCCCAATTGCTGTCATAAGTTGAGGACTACCTGTAAAACATGATCCTAAAGAGAGAGCTGGTTTCTGGGAAGAAAAGCAAGAAAAAAAAATGTATCTCAGTGAAAGTAATGATCCTCTCACCATGGTTATCTGAATTCCTTTCTGCTTTCTGCAGGACCAGCTCAGTCGGGGATCCTCACTGACCGTGAAGTGGTTAGCCTGTTCCTTCATTTCACGGTCAACCCCAAGCCACGGGTAGAGTTCATCGACCGCCCTCGTTGCTGCCTGAGAGGGAAAGAGTGCAGCATCAACCGTTTTCAGCAGGTGGAAAGCCGCTGGGGTTACAGTGGGACCAGTGACCGGATCAGGTATTCTTTCCACCACCGCTCTATTGACCTAGCACTGAAAACATCATATTTCATATATTTATTCTTCAAACAAAGTTCGCAAATTCAAATGAGCAAAACAAAGAAAATTAAAATGTTACATGGACGATAGGCATGTTAGTGCAATTACACACACACACACACGGACCTCTTAAATATGGGGTGAGGTCCACCAAAGTTTAAGTTAGAACTAAAATAGTAGCTGAGACAACTGAATCGGATAAAATATTTCTGACTCTTGACGACCCTGTTACCAAAATCGAATTTTTGGCAATCGAGTTTAAAACAGTTTACATTAGTTTAAAGCGGTTGTTTGCGCATGTTATATTATGATTAAAACTAAAAAAGTCATTTACAGGTAAAACATTACTAGGTACAATTTTTTTTATGCAATGCCTAAATCTGACCGCAAGTGTTGCAGTTCTAAACTATCCAAGCCAAGAATTTCAAGCTATCACCGAGTTCCCAGGTGGGGAAGTTTTGTGGTTCATCCAACTGTCTTGGGAAATTTTGGAAGAACTTTGGAAGATTATCCCAGTCTGATGTAATGATTATCAGCAGCCTGTCATTTAAAGCAGGTCTGGATATCTGAATTACATTCATCAACAGAAATGACAGTGCCCCTGTGTGGAAGGGGCAGGGAAGAAGCCTTGGGAAGAATTTCCATGTTTTGCTTTTGAATGGTGTGCTCAAAAAGTAGGTGGGCTGGAATAAAAGTGGGCACAAACCAGGAGAAAAGTAATTAAATTAAAAAGTTAAATTTTGAAACCTCTATAGTTTGAGCAATGAAATACAGGGAATATCATTGTGGGACCAAAGGCAGACAAATGAAGCTAGCTTCAGATGATGGACCCCAATGGTGGGACATGGCTAAGAAGGGGACAACTACTGATTCATAGGTGCAAAGGGCTAGGTGTACCCCCCCATCTGAGGGATACTGCCTTCCATACAATTAATCTCCCATCTATATCCCAGTTAATGTCCCATCTATACCAGGGGTGTTCAACCTTGACAACTTTAAGACTTGTAGACTTCAACTCCCAGAATTCCTAAGCTGACGGAATTCTGGGAGTTGAAGTTCTGAAGTCTTAAAGTTGCCAAGGTTGGACACCCCTGTTCTCTATGATATTTTGTGCGAGAGTTTAAACTAGGGCGATTGTGCCACCCAAGCTGCCCGTGATATGTTGATCTTTACTCCGGTAACAATAAGTGGATCAATAATGCCAACAGATCACATAGATTTGCTGTCGTCTTGCAGTTGAACAACCTGAAATTGATGCTAATTAGTTTATTCATTTTTACTTCATATACTGGAGTAAAAGAAAGCCTTCCTTTAGGTCTTTCTGGGAACAAAACAAATGGTAATCAGATGCATAAAGTAACAAGCATCTGGCACCACTTCAAAGGCTTGTTCCCTTTTTTGTTTCCATCCCATTAATTTTTATTTGAAACGATGGTATGCAGATCTAGATTGGGGGCTATTGCTGACTTGCTCAGTTATTTTCAACTCTCAGGTTTTGGAAGTGTTGGGTATTCAAAACAAGGCTGTCTCCCAGAGGACAAAGAAGAAAGAAAGGAAAAACTTTATAACTGGAGTAGCTTCTTTTCTTTCACAGTGATTTGGTCTGTCTATTTTTTTTTATTTTTTTTTTGCAAACTCTGCAGGTTCTCTGTCAACAAGCGGATATTTATAGTTGGATTTGGGTTGTATGGCTCGATCCATGGCCCCACAGATTACCAAGTAAATATACAGGTAGATAACTTTCTGGATTTGATTTGCATGAGTGGGTTGTGAAGCAACACGGGTGAATTTACAGGTACATCATTTCCTCCATTGATGGCAAACCTTTCAGGCTCCACACAGGTCAAAAAATTGGAAAATGTCTTACTTGACAGCTGGCATGTCACATCCCCAAACAAAAGCAGAACAGTTATTATTATTATTGTTTAGACTTCTATACCGCTTCATAGTGCTTTACAGCCCTCTCTAAGCGGTTTACAAAATTTACAAAGTTAGCATATAGCATATTGCATATTAGCATATTGCATTAGCATTAGCATATTGCCCCCAACAATCTGGGTCCTCATTTTACCCACCTAGGAAGGATGGAAGGCTGAGTCAACCTTGAGCCGGTGAGATTTGATCTGCTGATCTGCTGAACTAGCAGTCAGCTGAAGTAGCTGCAGTACTGCACTCTAACCACTGCGCCACCTCAGCTCTTAGTTCTTTACATTTTAATATCTAAAACAGTCCAATTATGCATGTTGCATTAACAGGCTGCATTAACAAAGGGATAGAATCAAGATCATGTGAAGTGTTAATACCTTTTTATAATGCCTTGGTAAGGCCACACTTGGAATACTGCATCCAGTTTTGGTTACCATGATGTAAAAAAGATGTGGAGACTCTAGAAAGAGTGCAGAGAAGAGCAACAAAGATGATTAGGGGACTGGAGGCTAAAACATGCAAAGAACAGTTGCCGGAATTGGGTATGTCTAGTGAAAAGAAGGACTAGGGATTACATGATAGCAGTGTTCCAATATCTCAGGGATTGCCACAAAGAAGAGGGAGTCAAGCTATTCTCCAAAGCCCCTGAGGGCAGGACAAGAAACAATGGATGGAAACTAATCAAGGAAAGAAACAACCTAAAACTAAGAAATTTCCTGACAGTTAGAACAATTAGTAGAACAACTTGCCTCCATAAGTTGTGAGTGTTCCAATTATGGAAGTTTTTAAGAAGAGATTGGACAACTATTTGTCTGAAATGGTATAGGCCTAAGAGCTTCCTGCCTGAGCAAGGGGTTGGACTAGGAAACCTCCTTCCAACTCTGTTATTCTGAATGTGATCTCCATTCTCATGCAGCCTTTCCAGCCTCTAAAAATTATGCAAGAATGGAGCATGCTTTTGAAAATAGTTGTGTTGATGTACATTGCTGTGCCATCCAAAATGTTGTGGTGTGTCAACTTTGACCCGGGTTTCATAGGTTCGCCATCCCTGCCCCAGACCTTGTTATCAGAAAGGAACATTGCTGTTTTTCCTATAAACAAAGTTATAATAGAATTTTTTTAAAAAAACCCATATGTTCCAAAAAAATAATAATTCCATTTTCCATTTTCTGTCTCTTTGCCTTCTACCTTTTCAGATAATTCACACAGACAGCAACACCGTCCTGGGCCAAAACGACACTGGATTTAGCTGCGACGGATCCTCCAATACTTTCCGGGTGATGTTTAAGGAGCCTGTGGAGATCCTGCCCACTGTCAGCTACACAGCCTGTGCAACGCTGAAGGTGCTTGGAGTCTTGGAAGAGGGAATATTCTTGAAAGAGCAACTCTTTCTGCAGCTTTTTCTGAATTTGCTTTTCTTGGTGGGGGGAAAACAAGGAACAACTCAGGAGGCTGATTTTAACATTTGCTAGCTATAGTGCCCTGTTTTTAGTCCTGAATCTCTTTCAGGATGGTGATAGGATGGAAGCAGAGAACCTGGGTGATTGGTTATACTTGTAAGGTACAGGTAGTCCTCGATTTACAACCATTTGTTTAGTGACCGAAGTTACAACAGCACTGAAAAGAGTGAAATGGTCATTTTACACAAAGCATCCCCATGGTCTCGTGATCAAAATTCAGATGCTTGGTAACTGACTCATATTTATGACGGTTACAGTGTCCCTGGGTCATCTGATCACTTTTTGCAACCTTCTGACACATCAATGGGGAAGCCAGATTTGCTTTACAATTGTGTTACTAACTTAATAATTGCAGTGATTCACTTAACAAACCGTGGCAAGAAAGATTGTAAACTGCAGCAAACACATTGAACAACTCTCTTGCTTAACGGAAATTTTGGACTCAATTGTCGTAAGTCAAGGACTACCTGTACACTCTCGGGTGGGGTATCTTGGACTCCGAGAGGAAAGGCAGAAATGCAGTAATTGAAAATAAATCACTGGCTATAGACACTTTGGGGGGGCGGTTGCTCAGGCCTGCTGTAGTCCATACAAGAGCCTTGGTGGCACAGTGGTTAGAATGCAGCACTGCAGGCTACTTCTGCTGACTGACTGCAATTTGGCAGTTCAAATCCCACCAGGCTCAAGGTTGACTCAGCCTTCCATCCTTCCAAGGTGGGTAAAACGAGGAGCCAGATTGTTGTGGGCAATATGCTGACTTTGTAAAACCACTTACTGAGAGGTGTAAAAGCACTATGAAGCGGTATATAACTCGAAGTGCTATTGCTGTAAGAGTCAAGGGATGGTCCCAGCTCAGTAGATCAGCTTCCTGACTCAAAGAAGGCCACTCTTACAACTTTGCTTTTCAATGCTTCATTTAGGGACCCGACTCTCACTATGGAACCAAAGGATTGCGGAAGGTGGTCCACGAGTCACCAACCACGGGAACAAAGACCTGTTTTACTTTCTGCTATGCTGCCGGCAACAACAACGGCACCTCAGTGGAAGATGGACAGATCCCAGAGATCATCTTCTACACATAGCAGGTGCTGCTGGAAATTCGCCATCGGACAGGCTCGGCGCTCCCTTCCCGCCCCCTCCATCTGAGACCGCCAGCTTGTTCTGCTACAGTGATAGGATGGGCTCCCGTTGGCAGACTCGGATTGGGCAAGCACTCCCAGATTGCACGTTCTCTACATCCAGATGCATGTCGGCCTTGCTGGACTGAGGCTGGCAATCTCTCCTGTTTGTGTTGGCAATCTGGCTGGGTGATTTCCTTGCACTGAATGTAGCTGCTTTTACATCTAGTCATCCTCGTGGAGGAAACTTAACTCTCATGAGAAGTGACTCCCCCACCCCCCCACCAGAGATTTCCCCTCCCCACATTTCTGGCAGGCAGGAGGCTAGCATGGGGTTGGTGGCGAAGGCGTCTTAGATGGTTGGTATATCAGCAGAGTGGTAGGGCTTTGTTCCCATTGCCCTTGTCCCCTCCCAGTTGTCTAGCAGGACAAATGACTTGTTCTCTTTGGGGTAATTGTGTACACAGCCTGATGGTGGGGTGTGTGTGTGAACCTTTTGCATGACAAGCAGCATTTCAAGACAATCCTTGACCCTGAGAAAATAGCAGAGCTAAAACAGGCCAATCAACTGACTTTCCAGTTCAGTGTTTCTCAAACATGGCCCTTTTAAGAGGTTTGGATTTCAATTCTGGGAGTTGAAGCCCAAACCTCTTAAAAGGGCCATGTTTGAGAAACACTGTTCCAATGTGTGTTTGCTGGCTTTCAAGGGAAAGTAAAGTGTGAATTTACTTTACTGACCTGATCTGACCCGATATGTCAGATTGGGACCCTGATCCAGACAAAGGCAGCCCTGCTTGGCGTGGATAATGCAGATTTATTAGGAGGCTAATAACATTTGGAGGATGACATCAGGAAAGGCTGCCTTAAGATCTACTTTACACGACTTTTGCTCCTTGTGTGCGAGGTTGCTGAAGAGTCAGCAGCAGATTGTGGGTCTCCCTGCTCGTGGCCTTGGCGAGCAGCTTGCAACCACGTGTACTTGATCATTGTAATTAAGAGAACCATCTAAATTTCTGGCCTTTTGTCCTCAGAAAGTTTCTTCTGCTGCTAATATAGTGCAACTTAACAATGCATTTTTGATTCTTGTTACCCTAGTGACAGGCTGGTGCTGTGGTTAGTTTGTGTTTGTATGCGTGTGTGTATTTCCCCTTAAACAGGGAGAGAACCCCCCCTGTCTCTTAAGCCATTTTTTGCAGAAATTTAATTCAGAGAGAGAGATTTCAGGAATTTTTTCAGGAGGAAAAATGCCTTTTTACGTTCACGAATTCTTAAGCTAGAATACGGTTCTTATGGGGTGGGCAGAAAAAGCATGTGGTTTTGTTTTTTTTCCATTGTTCAGATGCATTCAGGGTGGCTCTAGGCAACCCCAGCTGTATGGCAGAACAGCTTCCCCAGCTGTGCTTCCACTTGAGCATAACTTGGACTAACGGTATGTGGCAGTCCCTGACTAAAAGGACTTTTATGACTCTTGGCCAGGTGTTGCTTTATTCCCTCGTGCTTGGTTCCTCTTCCTATTAGTAAGTCACAGCTGTCAGTGTGCTATGGATGCTACTTTCCTACATTTGTTACTTTGGGAAAATTGCAATATGAAGCAAGCAATCCTAGAAAGTATTTGCAGGTGCTATTCAGATAAGCGCCCCAAAATATGATGGTGTGGGGTAGTGGGTCAGCTTTTTACTCTGGTGGGAGGGTAAAACTAAATCCCACTGTGATGATCTACAAATTCATTTATCCATTGTTACTGCAAAATCGTCCACATCCATGACTGTTTTGGTCAAGGATTTGGTGTGATTCACCCAAACTGTATACATGCCCTTCTCCAGAGCAAGTAATAAATCAGCAAGAAAGCAATTCAATTCTCTGAGAAATAGTTCCTCATACTAAATATCTGCGCAGTTCCTCTACGATAGTCAGTTGTGTTGTACATTTTGTTTCTCAATGGAAATTCACTGACTTGCTTTCTCCAACCTGGTGCCTTCTTGAGGTGCTGGACTGCAACTGCCATCATTCTCCAGCAACAATTTGGGCATTACTTTGGGAAACCTGCTTTTAAATATGACCCCTTCAATTTATCCTGATGGCATTAAGACCTTGTTTGGTTCACCAAAGTTGAGTCCATCTTCCTTTGATTCTAACAAGATATTTGACCACAAAAAGTCTTCAACTGGGACAGAATCTTTAATCAGGAAAAAAGGGTTGCCCTGGATATTTTTTTTTTTTTTTGCCATTCTCAGTAGGTGTTTCCCTTTGAAACTACTTGTCTGGAAATACAGATTACTCCACAGAAGTCCTTGAGCCTTATGTCACGCAAGTCTGTTTTTGAATCTCCCTTGTATAGTTAACCACTGTATAATGTGTACGTTTCTATTCCGGCCAGTATGTAGAATGGAACCATTATCCACTTACTAGCTCTCCATCAGCAGACAGTAGAGAAAATATGCACATTGGTGATTTTTATCAAGAGGCTTATTCAATATGCACACATTAGTTCATAGGGCTCTAAATTTTATAGCTTGCTTTCCTGCGGGGATTCTTAACATCCTCTTACCTTCACCACCACCACTCTTCCAGAGAACTCTTTTCTCAGCAATGTGCTAATCTGTTTTTCTGTAGATGAAAAATAATCATTGAAAAGTTTCTAAAAAGGCCTACTTAAAAATAGTTTAAAGGTAGTTTGTAACTCTGACTGCAGGCTACTTTAAATTGGATGGCTGAAAGCATTTCAGTCATCCTTTGAAATCCCTTTGGGGGGGGGGTGTTGTAGGTCTCCGATTGTTGTATAAAATCTGGTGTTTATTAAAATGTTACCAACTGAAAGGAAAGTTCAGTTGAAGTTCTTGGAGCCTGACACAAATTCTAGCATTTGCAAATTAATCTTGGTGATGCCAAGAGCAAACTTTCAATAGTGTCACCGACTGCTCATGCGATGCTATACAATAACTGTATCAGAAACTGTATTATTCAGCGTTTCACCACCTCTCCTTCCTTTCTGTTTGTAAATAGCAAGTGAATAAAGGCAGCAAAGTTGTCTTTAAGCATTTGTGTGTGTGTGTGTGTGTGTGTGTGAGACATGAGAGAATGGGTACCCACAGCCAAGTTTAAATTGCAGATTCAATATGGTTTGTGTGGAGGAGAGCCCTGCTTTGATGAAGCCTAGACCAGGGGGGTCTCCAACCTTGGCAACTTTTTAAGACTTGTGGACTTCAACTCCCAGAGCTTTGCTGGCTGAGGAATTCTGGGAGTTGAAGTCCACAAGTCTTAAAAAGTTGCCAAGGTTGGAGACCCCCTGGCCTAGACCATCTGCAACAGAAAAGCTGTGGCAGTTGTTGACAGTATTGGCGTGATGGACCAAGAATCAGACAGTGAATGTAACAGCTGCTTCTTGAAACTATTTTTGGATCAGTAGGTTGGAATTCAGACACCTGCTTATCTACTTCTGTGAAGCTCAACCATCAGTTTGTTTTGATTCCCAGATTTTCTTGAGTTTGTAAATTAGGTAGGAAATCACTTTTTAGAGGAGGGCTCATTGTAGACAGTCAGTTATTGGGTTTCTCTAGTCTCGAGTTCAGGACGCTCATTTTTGACAAGGAATGCTGGTAAGGAGAGTTGCGTCCTCTGGCACATAGGCATACATTTGACAATTCTTTTGCCAAAGATTAACAAGAGTGTTGGAGCAGGAACAACTGGCAACTGCATCAGATGAGCCTGCAGAGTTTCATTTAGGAAGAAAAGGCCTGAAATGGGTGAACAAGCCTCCAATCAGAAGGATGCATCACCTCTGCTAGTATGTTCTGGAACAACCTGGTGGACTAAGCCAAAATGAGGTTGTCATCATCATACAAGCCATCATGTTGCGGGATAAGATGGTTTATTTGCTTGCGTATAGCAAGCGAACACAGCAATTTGGGGTTTTGTTAAGATGAGTTTAGGGCAAAACATTTGGATGAGTCCAATCTGGATGTTACTTACCATAGATATTCATAAGTGGGTGGGTTGTACATTTGTGAGTAGAGAGGAACTGATTTTTGGGGGGGAATCCTGGGGGATTAAGGGAAAAAAAGGATGCTCATCTCATGTCAGAGGCTACTGGGATGCATCCATTTAAGGGGGAAAAATGGAGCACAGTTGCTCAACTTCAGCACCTTTAAGATGGGTATGGAATTCTGGGATTTGGAGTCCTCCCATCTTAAAGGCGCCAAGGTTGAAAAAGACTGTTCTAGCGACTAGATGCTTTCTCTCTGCAGGGAGAGAGAAAGCGTCCCTCTGTAAAGAGGGACTCCCTCTTTACAGGGAGTCCTTGATTTTCAGTTACGTAGCAATTATTTGAAGTTACAATGGACCTACCTGGGGGTGGGGGTGGGGGTGGGGATTTATGACCCAGATATAAAGTTCAGATGGTCATTTCCACCCCTTGGTCATGTGACTGCACTTCAGGCGCTTGGCAACTTAGTCCACATTTACGGTTGTTTGCAGCGTTCTAAGGGTTTTCTTAAAGACTGCCACATTCATTAAGGACTACCCCAAAATAGTTCATAAAATTGGTTCAATCACAAGATAAACCTGCTTTATGACTATGGCAGGCTCCATTATGGTCGTAACTTGAGGACTACCTGTACAGCACTGTTTTACTTTCCCAAAAGAAGTCACTGAAAATTACTTCCACTCTTCAAGACAAAACATCTTTGCTTTTAAACCAAAACACGAGGAAACATTTTTGCAGAATTTATTTTTTAAGGTTTTTTTTTAATTTTTAGTTTTTCAGGTTTTTTTTCCCCTGTTTTTATTATCTTTTTTTAAAAAGCCCTAACTTCTATGGCTTCAAAGAAGCTTCAAAAGAAACTTATACACCATAACCTGTGTACACTTTTTTTAAAGCAGTAACTAAATTTGCAATGCCACAGTCTCTCTTCTGCTTTGGAGCTACACCAGTACAAATCTCATTTCTATTCAGTCTTGAAATTACCTTTTTCTTTTGTTACATAATTAAAAAACAAAACAACCACACAATTAAGTCTGCAAAATTCTTTTTGATGCAAATCAGACAACATGGGCCAAAACATACACCTGATAAGACCAGAGAGCTTGAAAGGCCAACTACAACCTTCATTGATTTTTGTTTTCTGTCATTTGAGTCATCCCTTAAAACTTTGTCACATTCAAAAAAATAATAATAAAGAAAAAAGGAAAAAAAATTGAATAATCCACATTGCAACTGGTAGTCCAAGCACACTCATGCACTCTTTACATAAACATTTTAATTTTTTTAAAATTTCTTTTACACCTTCCTGGGATTGGAACTATATATTTTTTTTTTCAGCACAATGCTTAATAAGGCTGTATTCTGTTTTTCTCTTTGCACTGTTTGGGAAACAAACTCAAACACTGCACATATCTAAGCAATCCTATTTCAATGGAAGTTGCCCAAATTAAGAATTTTCCCTAGGACCTCCTGTATTCCTTGTGATTCTAGCATGGCAGAGGCACTGCTGTTAACAAAGTTTATAAACTAAGATCAATAAAGTGAGATCATGTTCTGAGTTTTAGTCCCTGCTTTCCTTTTTTAAATCTTATTTCAAATGGCCACAAAAAAACATTCATTCAAATAGGGCAAAGAAATTCATATCCACCTTGGAAAAAAGCACAAAGAATTAAGTGCCAGCTTTTGAAATAAAACGGTTGGGCTGGGAAGATCCGCACCCATTCCATTCCCTTCAGAGTCATCTGCAGGATTGCCATCGATTACGCAACCCCGAAAGGAGGGGGTTCCAACTCTTTAAAACCCACATTGGCGGGGAGGGGGGGGGAGAAGGTTTAAATCTAGTTCTAGAAAGTGAACAACTTCAAGGCTATAAGGTGAGGAGGCAGTAACCCTCTCATAATTAGGAGGGGGTGAATGAAGTCCAATAGATACGGTTTAGCACTAACGTGGCGGCGAATGTGGCGAATTTTAAAGTTGCACTCCTTTGGTCTGTAGCAGTAACCCACCCACCCGAGTGCTCTTTAGTTTAGCAGAGACCAAAGTATTTATTCCCCCACCCCACCCCCAGTACTAACCCTGCCACCATTTTCCCCCAGCAGGCCACATTCCAAGCGCCAAGTAATTACCACACGGAGTGAAAAGACAAAATATTTCGGAGCAACACGGGGCCAATTGTCTTATCCCTTGGTATAAAAATATATCTAAAGAAGTAACGAAGCCGCGCTGCTATGGTCACAATGCTGAAGCAGCTCGGACAGGTGGTAGCTTTGATGGCCGCAGACCAGCTGTTTTGTTTTGACTTGGGTCAACCGGAAGGGAGAAGCGTGTACGTTCAATCCAGGCGTTAACGGGCCGCGGTGTACCCAGGCACAACTTTGTCTAAGGCCGGGGTAGACATGTAAGCCTAGTGATGGAATACGAAGGGATAAAAGCATGAAAGCCAGGCGCAGGCTTTATTCTAAAGCCATCTCTCCCTTCCCTGGCAAGGTAGATTTTGGCTTGGCTTGGATGTTTTTCGTAACAGGCCTGCTTGCTCCATTTCCGTACTAATAACAGTCGTATCGGTGGTTCTGCAGGAGCCGATTCCAAGCCATCACCCAACTGGGAAGCTGGGAATGGAGGCGGCTGTTGGGTTTTTGAGAAAGAACAGACCAAAACAACAAGAGTGGATTGTCCTTGCACAACGCTTCGTCAGTGGGCCTCCTTCTCTCCACCCAAATAGAAGTTTGCTGCCGCCTATTTAATTTCAAAGGAAATTGGCAAGTACCCAGGTGCTGTGAGGGCCACCAATATGGAACGATCTCACCCAGTGATCCTGTCCATGTAGGTTTCACTTTGGTCATGAAAAGGTCCCCTTCGTCTCCACGTTTCTCTTAACAATGGACGTTGGCTTTGGGGTTTAATGTTTGGCAGGCTGCCGTTCCTGAGATCCAAGACTTTTGCCCTTAATTCTCTCCCACCTGGGAGTGGGTAGAACTTAATTAACATTTGTTTAAAAAAATATCTAAAATTGGATCGTTTTCAAGACACAGATGTTGCTGGTATTGCTACAAAAAAAAAGTGCACTGAGAAATGAGGAAGTGTGTAAATTAATTCCCCAGCCTCCCTCCCCCCTCCCCCCCTGCACAATACATTTATTTTTTTGCCTCTCGTGTTATTTGGGGTATGGGGACAAACCTTCCCTAAAGGATGTCACCAAAGGGTAATTTGGCAGGGCTGGGGAAAATAAACTGGGGGCGGGGGAGGAAACCAGGGAGACATTGGGGTGGGGGACATCCTTAAAACTTAAAGCAGAACCAAACAAACAAAACAAAATAAAATAAGCAAAACCATTTGCATCGCCACGACAGGAAAGGCGTAGGGGTGGAGGAGATGCTGCGGCATGAAGGCATTAAACGCCATTTTTAAATTAACTTAAAGAGAGACTGAAGCAAACAACAGAGAAGAAGAAGAAATACGTGCAGGGCTGCTCTCAGAATCATCACTTTGCTTCTTCTAAAGGTAAACAAGTAGAATTGATTCCCATTTTCTGTTTTTTTTGTTTTGTTTTGTTTTGTTTTTTTGTTCCAAAAGCTATTTGAGGAGCTCCAAAGAGGGAGGTGGAGGACAAATAAACTGACAAATGGAAGGGAAGAAGAACTGCTGCATAAATATTAATGCTGTTTTTTTCTCTCTCTCTCTGTGGACCAGGAGGAAGAGGAGAAGGATACTTGAGCAAGAAGTCCAACGTGCTTTTTCTGCCAGTGCCTGCCCCACCCCTCCGTTTGCATCTTCTGGGAAGAAGGGAAAAGGAAAGAAAAAATGGATGGGGGAAGCCCCTACTACCCCCCATGTGCCTGCTAGGACAGTCGAAGCTGCCTGTGTCCCTACCCACCAATAAAACTGGAGTGGGAGAGCAGGTGGGGGAAACAGTGCCCCCTCCTATTCCATCAAGATCCATTATCCTCAGCCAGGAAGTCAAAGGAGGGTGGGGGGAAACGCAGTCCCAGTAGGATCCTGGCTTCGACCAACAGGAATATTTCACTTGTGGCGTTGGATAGTTTTCCTCTTCCTCCT